ATTTTCTGGAGGCTCTACAAGCATAACCACTCAGTATTTTTAACTAATTCTTTGATAGGCTCATTCAGGTTGACCAGAGGTATGTTCTGGCTACCTCTCCAGTGAGCACTTTTTTTTTTTTTTTCAGATGCCAAAAATGGCCTCCAGAATAAAAACCTTCTCAAGGCCCCAGCTTTCACTGAAATTAGTCCATACCAAGGGAAGTGTAACACAACTACATAATGTAAAAGAATACACAAATACATTTGAGGTACAATAGATTCTTAGAAAGAACCAGAAAAATGAACCAACCTTCATTCTTTTTGCACTCAACTGTATGTACATGGATATATGAATAGTATACATGGATACATAAATACAAGAATACAAGGATATCATACATGGATACAAGGATACATGTATACAATATATACTCAATACTTTCTCTAGTATGATGCTAACTTCATATCATAAAAATATTTCAATACTCTCTCATTGTTCATACAAGCAAGATATTATTATCATACTTTAATCATACTATTATATTACTCTCATACCAATCTCTATATCCACACTATACTATCATATAAGTCCAATTCTTCTTATCATTGGAGTTAGTATACCCATTTTATACCATTCTCATATCATATTATATACTATCATGATACACCTCCAATACTCCTCTTCTAGTATTTAACTAGTATTTAATCCTCACATTAAAACTATTCATTTTGTACTACTATACCTATCTGATACCATTCTTATATTATATTGTGTGCTATTATGATATACTTTTAATACTCCTCTTCAAGTATTCAACTAGTATTTAATCCCCACCTCAAAACTACCAAGTTGAAATTTGTATACCCTTCTGATACTGACATGATATTATATTGTACAATATTATGATATATCTTCATTACTTCTCATCTAGTATTAAATCCTCACATTAAAATTGTTGATTTTAAAATTCTGTTCAATACCATACCCTTCACATACTTTTTGAATTTCCATACACCAGTATTATGCTTTTATTTTAAAAGTGAGAAATGTAGCTTTCAAACAGTATGATAAAATATTGTAGCATACTATTTGGATACTCTGCCTGCAATATTTGAATGGTATTAGATATTTCACTCTCATATTTTGTCCATACCAACAAAATACCTGTCAGGCGGTATTGTTTGTTTCTTCTTGATACTAGCACAATACTGGCATCTCAGTATGTTGGTCATCTTTAATGAGTATCTGCTTGATATTATGTTAGTATTCAATATAAAAATGTGATATATTTTCATACTTTTAAGATATTCCCTTTATATCTACTCTCTAGTATCATATAAGTATCTTTTGAATATTATATATAATATTTTCAAAGTATCTTATCCTGAAGAATCATACTCTTAAAATATTGGCCAATCAGTATATTGAAGATATTTTGTTCAAAGTTAAGATACTGTGATAGAAGTATTATTCTAGTATGTGAGCCAGTATTGAGGATTTGAATACAATCAAAATACTAATCAGATACTTCAGCATGGGTAATAAAATATATATTTTCATACCAATCACATACCTGGTGGATGGTATTTTGGGAAAAATTTTTGTACCATCAAAATACTCTCAAAATATTCTTACGTCAGTATGTTGGAATGTTTGCAGTGAATGGTATAATGGTCACCCATGGGATCCATATGGACTGCTCCATGGAATCCAATGTGGATATGCCTGCATTCCATATGGAATCCAATGGAATCCATAGGGAATGGTGTTGGAGTCCATATGGAATTAATCATTCCATGACCATTCCAGCATCATTCCATATGGAATCCATGATGTCCATGGAATCAGAAACTGGCTGTGTGCTCAGCCAACATTGATTCCATGGATTCCACATGGATTCCATATGGATTATACCGGGGAAGGTAAAGACCTCAGAAAATCAGTAAGTGGACCGTTCACCTTGGCTGAACCGATTGTGAAAACATTTACAGTGATTCCTGCATATGCATCAATACTGATGTGTCGCGTCGCCACAATAGAGAAAACACTATGAAAACTTGAAAGAAGTCAGCTCAGCTGTGCAAACCTTTACTAAAAATCAGTATTAATTTGTCTGACCTCTCAGACAACATACGGCTGTGTAAATATAAATAGAAAACATAGAATAGTATAAAAGGAGGACACGCACAGGCTGAAACATAAGGAATTATCCCCTGTGTTGACCAGCTGTCACACTCCCAGTAGCATCTGAGGTAGTGGATAAGTTTGTAATCAATTTAAAGGACTTTTCTTTGCAGACATAAGTAATGTGTGCCTGGAACCAGCGTGTTAAGTGGGGATCACTAAGCTTTTGTAAGGTTGTCTTGTCAGTTAGTAAGAGAGCTCTCTACTACTACCAAGGAATCCAAGTGAGCATGCTTGAAGAGTCTCTAAGACTAGTTTAGATCGAATCAGAGGCATAATAAAAGCTCAGGGGAGTTACAAAAGTCTATAAAAGCACAGTTTCCTTGTTATTTCTTTGAATACAGTTAGAGCGCAGTCCCAGAACACCAAGATAGTCCCAATAAAATCTGTTTCCCTTTGAAGACTATTAAGTTTCAAATTCTATACTTGTGCCCACACGTAAAAACAATACCATTTGTTCCAAAAGGTCTACTAGACTTAGACAAGTGATATAAAATATACAGAACTGTTTCCCCGAACTTCTACTTTAAGTTCTAACAAAACAACTGTGGTAATTCCATTTACCATACAAACCCGAACTCAAAGCACCGAGCACGTACCTGTGGTGATAAGTGTTTAAGGTGTTAGTGTGTGTGTGTGTTGTTTAGGTGTTCACGCATCTTGTCAGCACGTCTGATTGCACTTTCCTCACTCCCGCGTGACACGGTCTTCTCACTGAGGACAACTCATCGACTGGGAGCAAGGTTCACGAACACATTCACCAAATAGTTTGCTGAATGGGTGAACAACCCATGGTCATGTGTCCATCCTCTGGCATACTGTACTATTTCATTCAATTTGGCAGTAACACATCACACAGCCTTCAAATTTGCCGAAATGTAATGCTTGTAACATATAATTTTTTCCCATGCTGAAACCATTTCATGGTAACAGTCTCAATATAGCAAAATTTTGCAGCCTGCAGTGCTGTACTGCTGAACTTTTCGCCTTGTCATGGCCAAATCCTGCAAGTGCCAAAACCAAAATTCCGGCTGGGCAGTAATGTGTCATGAGCCCTGCCGAATTGAATGAAATAGTACAGTATGGCTTTACAGTGGCTCATGCCCTCAGGCTGTGCTTTGACCTGCCGCAGTAAAGAGTGATCTGCCAGAATGCATTGAGGTTCAAAACCTTGCACACTCAGTGCGCTACAACATACACTGCTGGCAAAAATTACTGCAAGTTTATACTATGTCAATTTGTTTCCACAGCACTTCACGGTTGGTCATCCAAAAATTATATGTTATTTGTGACCTACTAGGCTATAAGTACATTGAGTCTTGGCAAATTTTTCTTGTCAAAGTTAGCCACTGGAGCCCACAATACAGAAATTGCCATTTTTGTTATCACAGGTCAGCAAACAGTTTTGACAACACAAAACACACTTGTGAGGCAGCAAAGAAATAACTTGTATACCATCCCTTTGCTGCTTCCAGGCAATGCATGCAGGCATACCTGCATAAAGCAGTGCTAAGAATCCATCATCCATCTTGGCCCATTCCTCACAGATCATGTTCCAAAGGGATGCTTTGCTTGTAGGTAGAGCTCCTCTGAATATGCCTGACATTTAAATGGAAAATGGATAACTGTCTCCATGATCATCAGCTGCTCTATACCCCAACACAACTCACATCTTCTGGTGTTTGACTTCTCAATGTGGAAAAGATAGTTGTTGAGTGATACATATTCTGTTCATAGTTGCATTAGCAGACTTGTTTGTGACCTCAAGAGTATGTTGTTGATCTTTGGGAACTTGCTGGATAAGTCTGTGTTGGCATGTTGAAATCTTGCATAGTGTAGTGAAACCTTTCACATTTAACCATTGAGCCTTCTGCACTCCTGTGAAAACTTATTGACTGCTGTACTACTAATTGGTAGGTGCTTCCAGAGCATGAGTGGTAACTCCTCTGGTAGGCTTGATTTCAATCTGCACAGTGGTTGCTGGCCATAGATTGGTGCTACAGGCATCACTTTCAAAGGTGTAGTGTTACATAGCTATTTAAACAGTTAAGCTTTGGAATTTTTTTCTAAAGTGTGGAGGTCTTGAACCTGTCCTGTTTCTATTGAGTGTGATGATATTTAAAGTGTGGTTAATTGCATTCAACCACACTGATACAGTAGAAAATAACTGTTACACTGAATACATTTATACAAAGTTCTCTATACTGGACACATGGCAAGATAATTTGCATTGGAATACTCTAAAAATGTAATACATCTTCAAAGATTGGTTTCAATGAATGAAGGTCAAATATTAATAAGACATGTTGAAAACATGTTGAATGCATTGAGATAAATATTTAGACAATGCAAATTGACCCTATATCTTTCAAGTAAGTTTCTATATGTTTTAACATGTTTCATAAGTATTTGATCTTCATTCATTGAAAACAATCTTTGTAGATGTATTACATATGTCTTACCAGAAAACAGAAAAAGATGAGGAACTTTCAAAAGAGTATATCAACACAAATTATCTTGTCATATGTCCAGTGGTAGCAATTTTGAGTCTTTGTTGTTGAGATGTCTATTGTTTTGTTTATGACCTCGAGCTGGACTAATTAAGTGGGAGTAGGTCCAACAGTCTATTGTCAGAGCCCTTTTCAAAACAGACAAAAAAGATTTTTCATACACTCTGGATGCAGGCCACATTAACTTCGACCAACTACTGTAATGAAATTGTCCATACATTTCAAATAGTTTTATGTTAACAATTTCTTTACAGTAAGTTAGTCAAAGGTAATATGGCTTGCATCTAGTAATCAACAGCATATCAAGACATGAGCACAAGATAGAATATCAGTGAAACAGAAACAAATCACTATAGAAGGTGAATTAAGTACTAGTTCCTGTAAAGTCATCATCAAAATCTTTCTCTTTATGAAACAAGTGTGACATTTTGGATCTAAATTTTGAAACTCTCTTTGCAAGTTTGGAAAGAGAATGGACTGAGGATAAAGACATCAGAGGGGGTTCAAACAACAATTACCAAAAAACATACCTTGTTTCTCAGGATTATCCAGAAGCACTGCTTGAACTGGACGATTCAAAACAACCTGCATTGAATGCAAGTTTTGTTCACCAAGACTTATGGTGCCTGCCTCAACAACTGGAACCCCCTGTGCTTCATGGACATTGGCTGTGGTAGGAATTGTATGAGATTCTGCTGCAGGAACTCTGTTCTTTAATTTATGAGCTTGGGTCTCCAGCTTCTCTGCCTCTGTGTATTGTCCCAAGTTGTAATATGTTACTGCTAGATTTGCAATGGCATTGATTGTATCTGGGTGTTCCACTCCAAGAATTCTGTTTCTTGCATCCAGAACTTGCATCTGCAGTTTCTCTGCCTCTGTGTATTTTCCCAGACAATAATATGTTGCTGAAAGATGTGCCATGGCATTGATTGTATCTGGGTGTTCCACACCAAGAATTCTGTTCCTTGCATCCAGAACTTGCATCTGCAGTTTCTCTGCCTCTGTGTATTTTCCCAGACAATAATATGTTGCTGCAAGATGTGACATGGCATTGATTGTATCTGGGTGTTCCACTCCAAGAATTCTGTTCCTTGCATCCAGAACTTGCATCTGCAGTTTCTCTGCCTCTGTGTATTTTCCCAGACAATAATATGTTGCTGCAAGATGTGCCATGGCATAGATTGTATCTGGGTGTTCCACTCCAAGAATTCTGTTCCTTGCATCCAGAACTTGCATCTGCAGTTTCTTTGCCTCTGTGTATTTTCCCAGACAATAATATGTTGCTGCAAGATGTGCCATGGCATAGATTGTATCTGGGTGTTCCACTCCAAGAATTCTGTTCCTTGCATCCAGAACTTGCATCTGCAGTTTCTTTGCCTCTGTGTATTTTCCCAGACAATAATATGTTGCTGCAAGATGTGCCATGGCATAGATTGTATCTGGGTGTTCCACTCCAAGAATTCTGTTCCTTGCATCCAGAACTTGCATCTGCAGCTTTTCTGCCTCTGTGTATTTTCCCAAGTTGTAATATGTTGCTGCTAGATTTGCAATGGCATTGATTGTATCTGGGTGTTCCACTCCAAGAATTCTGTTCCTTGCATCCAAAACTTGCATCTCCAGCTTCTCTGCCTCTGTGTATTTTCCCAAGTTGTAATATGTTACTGCTAGATTTGCAATGGCATTGATTGTATCTGGGTGTTCCACTCCAAGAATTCTGTTTCTTGCATCCAGAACTTGCATCTGCAGTTTCTCTGCCTCTGTGTATTTTCCCAGACAATAATATGTTGCTGCAAGATTTGACATTGCTCCGATTGTATCTGGGTGTTCCACTCCAAGAATTCTGTTCCTTGCATCCAGAACTTGCATCTGCAGTTTCTCTGCCTCTGTGTATTTTCCCAGACAATAATATGTTGCTGCAAGATGTGCCATGGCATTGATTGTATCTGGGTGTTCCACTCCAAGAATTCTGTTCCTTGCATCCAGAACTTGCATCTGCAGTTTCTCTGCCTCTGTGTATTTTCCCAAGTTGTAATATGTTACTGCTAGATTTGCAATGGCATTGATTGTATCTGGGTGTTCCACTCCAAGAATTCTGTTCCTTGCAT